TTGTTAATATTAATTGAATTATATATATATATATATATTGTATCTGATATTTAAAATAAGTTAAATAAATTAAATTTAAATTGTTAAACGTTATAAAATTAGATTTGTAAAATTGTTTATATATAACCTAAAAGCTTAATTTAAAGTTCTAACCTATTTTCTCTTTTGTTAGTGTTGATCCCTTCACACGTAAAGACTGGTACGATGTTAAAGCACCATCTATGTTTACCAACCGTCATGTCGGCAAAACATTGGTCAACAGAACCCAGGGAACAAGTAAGATATTTTATGCTAAAGAAAATTTTGCAACACCAGCTCCACAATAGTTTTATTAGAACTTTATGTGGCGTTTTATGTTGCATAGAGAAAAGCAGACTCTTACCATAGTATTATTTTCTTTGTGATAATACTAAAATTTGTTCCTGCCACAAATTTATTTAAAGTATATTATTAATTTAAAATATTTTTAAGTATATTAGGTTGATTTCGTTATTAATTTTACTTTTATTGTGTTATAGAGATTGCTTCTGAAGGTTTGAAATACAGAGTATTTGAAGTCTCTTTAGCAGATTTACAAAATGATGGAGATGCAGAAAGATCTTTTCGTAAATTTAGGCTGATTGCTGAAGATGTTCAACATCGTAATGTACTGACTAACTTCCATGGCATGGACTTAACAACGGATAAATTGAGGTCCATGGTTAAGAAATGGCAAACTTTAATAGAAGCTAATGTTGATGTAAAAACTACTGATGGCTATCTTCTCAGAGTTTTTTGCATTGGTTTCACCAACAAAGATCAACTGAGCACAAGAAAAACATGTTACGCTCAACATGCACAGGTTAATATTTGTACAAATAAAATATATTATCTTTTATCTTAAATATTTGCAACTTAAAGTAAATGAAAGTTGTGTGATTACTTTCATGTTTCAAAAAGTTGCATAGAACAATAGCCACTCGCTTACCACATTATTTTTGTATTAGAGAATAGTGATGTATGATGTTGCAACACATTTATATAAAATATATAATTATGTATGTGTTGTTCATGTATGAAGTTACTTGAATGTGTGTTTTTCTATGTTTAGGTCAAAAAAATTAGACAGAAGATGGTAGATACGATTACGAATGACGTTACAAAAAGTGATTTGAAAGGTGTGGTTAGTAAACTCTTACCGGATGCTACCGCTAAAGATATTGAAAAAGCCTCACAAGGCATTTATCCACTACATGATGTTTATATCCGCAAAGTATATAAATCACATTAATTGTTCTTATAGTTTCAATATTTTATTTGAATCTGAATATAAATAACAAATATATTACATTATAGGTTAAAGTATTAAAGAAGCCACGTTTCGAATTGAGCAAACTATTAGAACTTCACGGCGACGGTGTGGGAAGCAAGAGCGAAGAAGTGGGTGAAAGTGGTTCAAAGGTTGATAGACCAGAAGGCTATGAACCACCTGTACAGGAATCTGTTTAAAGGAGGTATTTCCTTTATTTGTGATTCTTTAAAATTTGATATAAATAAAACGCAAATTCCTGTGAATATTGTTATTATTCTTTTTATTTTTTTGTGTATTATTTTTTGAAACAAGACATTTAAAAAATTCTGTTTTATTTGTAAATGTTTATTATTGAAAAAATAATTTTATAATACAATGTTCTTCATTAATAATTATTTAATTATATCAAAAGAAGCTAAGAATCGGTAAAAAGAAGGAATCCATAGTTCATTTGGTCATATTAAAATGTAAAGGTACTAACGATATTAAAAACTAGACAATGTAAGTAATTAGTGCGACAAAATTCGAATAGTGAACAACCAACTTCTTATTAATAATGCTCTAAAACTTTCACTCCAGGATGCCAATATATAGATTAATAACACAAAGAAAAGTATCTTTGTGATTATATCAACCCAATACATGCTACAATTAAAATATAAACATTGTAGTTAAAAATTCATTAAAGTTTCTAGGTGTTCTGAGAATCAATTCGTAATTAGATCTTACATTCGTAAGTGTCTTCGAGCGGCTGGCAAAGTTTCTGGTGGTTCGTTCAGAATGTAAATTCTTGCTGCTCGTATACATGTTTCGAAATATGCATCTATATCCATATCTTCTCCATGTAATTGATAATTTTCATATTCCACAGAATTCAGTTTACTTCGTACTTCGTACATATTTGAATTTTCAAAATCCCATTGATTATTAGCATAATATTCGAAAACTTCGAAACCTTTTTGTATCCGACGTTGCACACGACACATACTGTTTATAGTAAGAGTTTTATGTCCTTTAATATCGTCAAAATGTTTTGGTTTGGAAAATATTTATCATCTATAAATAAAAGATAATAGTACTTAGATGCACTTACATTGGCTTATAGCCTGCAAGGAAAATAAGTGTATCTATGAGGTAAGCAGGTATCATATGGAATAGTAAAACACATATATTATGCAAGAGTCTTGATTTCTTCATGCTACCTCCCGGATACCAAACAACTCCGTTTAAAGGTACTTTTTCTGTTATTTTTCGACCTCTAGCGATTATCTCTGCCCACGATACCTAAAATTTTCATATTAAAATAGAATGAATATTAGCCACATATACTTATTATTATTCAAAATGGTATGTTCAAAAAAATAATAATTTACCTTGAATTCACTGCTACTTGTAAGATTGTAAACTCTTTTTTCATGATCTTTCCAATATATAAAATTCCAAGAACTAGCAAGAATTCCATTTATCGCAATATCAACGGGAAGATAATCGGCGTAACCAGTATCATTACAATACATTGTTCGAATAACACCTTTTCCAGCACCAATTAAAAGTCCTGTTGGTCCATTGATATTATCCGTCCATCCTGGTAATGGTTCTTTCCATACAGGTATGACTATGCTTGGTCTAGAATTTAAAGTAATATTCTACAATTAAAGATTTGTAATTGTTTATAAAAATGGTGTTTTAATTCAAACCTCAATATAATTGCTGGGATGTGTGGCATTGCTTCTTCTACAAGGCTTTCTGACAATGCTTTAGTAAAGGCATACGTATTGGGAATACGTCCTAAAATTTTATCTGTCATTGCTTCAACTACATCATTATCCATCCATTCCACGCATTTGATTATTTTAAGAGGATCTGCAGGTGGTGGATATGGTTTTTCTCCTAAAACCTAAAAAAAATGTTATTTTATTAAACAAATATTACCAAATATACTCGTAATTTAATAATTTAAACAGTATGCGATTATAATAGTAGTACCTTTTCTTCAAGATGACAATATGAGGTACTAATGTGTGCAAACAATTTTAAATGCTTCATCTCTCTGGCTAATTCCAACATTTGCTTTGTACCACGTGTATTCAATAGTACTGCTTTTTTCAACAATTCATCGAATCTTTAATAATGTAGTAATCAAATTCAATATTATTTTCAAGATATTTTATTAATATTTACATAAGTTTTAACATATTTTATTATATAGTACGTTACCGTACTGTGGCAGCTGCATGGTATACAATGTTAATCTTTTCACAGAGCACCTTTCTGTCTTCTGAGGAAAGTCCGAGTCCAACTAGCGAAACATCTCCGTGTATAACAGTTACAGATTTTTTAAGTGTTTCTGCCCCTCTTTGTTTCTTAACTTTTTCAAAAAGCTGAAACAATAAATTTTTTAATTTATTAATTGACAATTTTCTGTAAAATTTCTTTATAAATGTATTTTCGTTCTTTTGTAGATTGCGTTATGTACACGGAACGAAGTTATAATGAATTTACGTTGCCGATAAACTTGCTTTCTCGTGTATTCCAAGTTTCTGACAGGCACTGTTTTTTTGTAGGATTGTAAATTAGTGTTGAAACAAACGAAAGTAAAAGTTAGATTTATTTTTCAGTATTTTTTTCAGTAAATATTTTTCTAGTAATATTTAAATGCTTTTTAGTTAATCGTGCCATTTTTATACATTTATGTATATTAAACTGATTTAATTAATATTACATATGTTATATCGTAATGCATTCAAATTTTTTGTATAGTTTTTATAGTTTTGTAAAGTTTTATATTGTCCTAGATTGAGTATAATATTTGAGTTAAGAGCAGTCTTAACAGCCTTGTAATTCAACGATGTTTATATGAGCATGAGTCTTTAAATTACAAACATGAATAATAGGAAGAACAATGAATAATGCTTGAACTTTTTTATCAAACAATAACATCTTCAAAATAAATTACGTTTCTTAGAATAAATAATTGTAAGCAAATGGTTCTTTACGTAGACATCATTTTTTAAATAATTTGATGTGTTTTATTGATATAGAAAAAATTGAAGAATTTGTATAAATTTATTGTTTTTTTTACACACGATGTTTTAGATTCCATGTACGTAAATGACTTTTAACTTTCTTTCTCTTCCTAATAATGTATATTTCCTCTAGGTAAATAAAAATCTTCAAGTGTTCCATAGTTTCCACGATATTTGATATAATTAAATTCGCTAACTAGAACATACCGCTCTATAATTAAAGAATACGATTCTAGTCCATAAATATATGTGTAATTTATTTTATATAAAAAGTGAACAATATTCTATTTATTTGACGTTAAATTTTGATCTTTCATCTTTAAAATATTTAATTGTATATTTTCAAATGTACGTATTTTCTAGTATGCGATTATTTAATTATTATATTTTTATTAAAAGGAGTTTATCAGAAAATAGAAAATAACTCAAAAGATAAGCGATTAATAATATTTCTACTACAAAAATTTTATCTGTACTCGGAAATTAGTATAATACACGACCAAATTCTTGAGCCTACGCTGCTTACCGCAGAGAATTAGTATGCGTGCATATGTGTGTTAGAATGGGGTCCAAGGGGCAGCAGTACGAAAGATGTGACATAACAGGCCAGCACATGAGGAATAAGAACTTTCACCAGGTATGAGAGTTGGTAATAATGATGATAATAACATTTTCCATCCTCTTCTCTATGTACAAGACCTTGACTTAATTTTTAAGATTTTGTCTCGTAACATGTCACTCTAAATAGTACACTTTTACTGTATATGTGTGGACTTCATCTTCAGTGACTAAATCTAAGAAAATTAGGATGCTTCATGTTACAATCTTTGAGAGTGTTTCGAAGTATGTTATACTTCATGGAAAATACTTTGATAACTAACTTTTTTTTATGTCACATGACATAAGTAGTTAGAATATTTCTCGTTTTTGTTGTCATAATGTTCTTTTTCTTCATGATTACGTTTAAATGTGTCGTAATATTTTTTATTAATTCTTGGTAATTCTGATAAATAAATGAAAAAGCTCTTTCTTTAGTTATATAGAATAATCAAATTTATTATGAAATAAAAAAAATAGTTTAATATTATGTAACACTGTAATGGAAACGATCAAAGAAGAATTGAAGTTCGTGGCTTATTCATTATATCAGTCATCTTGACTTTCTCAAAGATATTTGTATAGGTAAAATACTTCTCACGTTATTTTCAATTGTGTTTGATTTTCGTTTGCGTGGTATCCTTTCTTCATCCCATTAAACAAAATTCATCGTTTAAGTAGCGTTCTCTTACTGTACAATAGTCGATACAACAGAATCTGTAATGCGTTGGCATATCGTCATTTTTCAAGTCCTGAGTTATTTCTACATGTCGGGTCTTGGAAGATTTTTCTTTTATCTTTGAGAGTGAAAAGAATTTTTCAATTAAAACTTTTTCGCTTAACACATCATGATTCTTTTATTGCAAAATCTAATTTTCACATAATTACACTTTCTCTAAGTGTGTTTTATAAGGTATATGTTGCAATATTTCTCGCATTAAAAATATCTACCTGTTACAACAATTGTAACAATAGATTAACAACTGCAGTTTGTAATAAATATTTAATTAGTATAACATTTTATGGAATCACTTCTTCCATATTATTTTCAAACACGCAACATTTATTCTAAATATTCATTCTGAAAAATTAGGTCAGGAAGAGTTCCCTTAAGTGGAAAACAACCAGTATAAGAAACCTGTTTACGTACATATAAGTGGTTCAATTACTTTTTCTTCATACTTATGTAATATCGACCATGTGATTTAAGTTCATAGAACGTTCATGCGACAACGGTTATTTAAAATTCAGTATCTTTACCGATACTTGTTTTATTTCAAAAGGTACTAATTAATTTAAATTAAAAATCTTCGATAAAAAATCACATTTTTGCACGCATATGTTGCTTTTTAATTGTCTTATAGAAAATTTGTATTTTACACGAGAAATGTGATTTTCTATACAAACGAAAAAATATTTGAAAAATTTTAAAAGATATTTACCGGTGAGTCGAACATTTCCTCTAGACGATGTTTTGGATCTTTTCCCTTCTTGGGTCTGATTAGCATATAAATTTGTTGTGTATTTGGTAAACATCTGAGAAATTTTTCAACAACGACTTTACCCAGGAAACCAGTACCACCGGTAATTAGGATGTTCTGACCTTTGAAAGATTCCGCTATTCTATCAGGAATCTCTTCCACTTTTGTTTCTGCCATGATCTCCTTTTTAATCTCTGAAAAATGTAATAGTAATTTATAAATTTTTTGTTTAATCTTTGTCAAAGACATAAATGTAGTGATTATGAGAAAATTATCGTATGTCTGACTTATATCAAAGGTAAAATAAATGCTGTACCGGAAATTGCAACTGGAACAGAAATTATAGTGTAGACCTTTAGTTTATGCTTGAAATATATTCCAGTCAATCTTAACTTCGCAACAAGTGAAGCAGTCACGTGACTACTTTTGTGAAGTAAGACAAAGTTGAATTTAATCGAACAGGAACGTCGATATTTAAACATTAAGAGTGGTTTATATTACAGTTTAAATTTCATTACAAATATTATCACAGATGAAACAATTGCAATAAGAAGTGTTTGTGATGAAACTGAGCAAGCGGAATGTTTTTCAGAACTTATTTATGCAAAATTTTTCGGCTTTTATACAAGGTAAGAAATGACATGACATCTTATGAAATATTGAAGTTAATTATTAATTATGAAATTTTCAGGTTATGTTTTGAAGCAATAGGTATAGCGACTTTTTTTAAATTAATTTTGCATACAAGAAAGAACATTTTTATTATGTAAATATTACAAGGATGCAGTAACAGTTTTTACGACAACGTAAAGACATAACTACGTATTGACAAAGAAACCTGCATGACAGAAACGTAACTTAGTTATTCTAAAAAAAATTTTTGCAATAACAGAAATGATAAATGTGTCACTTTCTCTGTTAAAGATTCTTTTAACTTCTGTCTCGATAGATTTCATAATTTGTTGAATTTTAAACCATTGAATGAAGTATTTCTTATATAATTAGTAGAATAACTACATAGTTGTCATAGATTTGTCATATTTACCCATTCGTATTCATAAAATATTTATATATCTTCAAAAATGATTAAATGGATAAACAATCAAGCAATCAAAGCAAAATTTCACTGCGATTTATCTCAAATAATATGAATCTGATTCATCATAAAATATATTTATATATAAACAGAGGATGTAATAATCTTAGAAATATCAAATTATCGATACAAAAGTTACAATAAAATTTACTGTAAAATGAATCATGTCAAATTAATAACAACGATACACGATATTTTTAATTAAATAACACATTATTAACAACGATACACAATAACAGAACAAGTTATACTTTCTTGGTTTCACATATATATGGTCATGAGAATCACTATGACAATAAAACAAAATTTTCACGGATAGTAAAACGTAACCCTTGTGAATTCGCCATAATTTTTCAGCGTAATATTCGTAAATATTTAATAAAAAAACGAAAAAGGACTCGCTTTGAATGTCGAACACTTACTTCCAGGAATGAAAGAAATTTCGTCAAGCTCACGCTTTATTCGAAATAACGACTGGTTGCAAGTAAACAATGTAGGAACGAGACGATATTAAAGCACAATCACTAGTTCAAGAGTGACCAGTTACAGTCAATCGCTGTTACTTCAACGGTGAGCTCGATACAGACTGAGAAAGCATAACGTACACCGAATATTTCCCTGGATGATCATCGGCACTCGATGCAGTCTCGTATTCGCTTTTGGCTAGACCGTGTTCCCCCACTCTTACTTAAGGGAAGAACTCAATCTTATTCAAGTCACGTAATTGTTTATCCGTGTATATTTCATTATATAATTTTGTAAAATAATTTCATTAACGTACGAATTTAATGTATGAAACGTATGTATGTAAATCGGTGTGATTCATTTTCAGAATAAATTTAACAACAGAGGAAGTACTTATAAATATATATCCTAATTAACCTTACTTTTTACATTACTGCCACTCTTACCTTTTAGCGTTCTTTTCAATACTAAATTGAGTTGATGAAATATATCAATCCGAATTGAAACATTTATAAAAATACTTAATAACAAAAATAAATAGTAACAGACAAATTTCTTTCATTTCTTGGAAACAGATACAGAAACAATTCAACTTTTTAAAATTAGTATTTTACATATCATATTGCATTAAAAGAAAAAATTAATGATTCTCTGTTAGCGCTAACAACAATCTTAAAATTAGAGAAAATAGATAGATGTAACAAGCAATTGCAAAACACAATTATGAGTCTACGAGACCGTAGGTTTTACCGGATTATCAAAATTCACAAGCCCTTTATTAAATTACATAACTTGTAGAAGGAATCAGCTCATGCCGAACTCTCTCTTTCTTCGATTGCCCAATTTGGTATTAGCGATGTTTTACGTCAACTTAGGAATGTGTATACACATATTTTTTAGCATATCCAACAGAATAGCAGAAAGTTTGAATAAATATGTAACATACTGGACCACTTATGCAGGGTTCTTACTTATCAACTGATCGTTAATATATTATTGATACAAATTTAATTATTATATGAGTTTATGTATACAGTACAATTATATAAACAAATCGTGTATATTCAAATAAATGTAGACGACATAACATAATATTTTTTAATTCATGTATATTTTTTAGAAATTTTATATAATTTCTTTTAATGAAAGTTATTATTACTATATTAAATCTCGATACGTAAAATCATACAGCTATAATTTGCTGAATCAGAGGGGAATCTATTTCTAGTCGATATCAGGGATATTTCGAAATTACCTGAGAATTAGAGTAATAGTGACAACGGGAATTTCATTTATGGCAAATGAGGATTACCTATAAATAACATACAGGTTTTATTACGTGCTCTCTCTGCTTATACTCATTAAAAATTTATATATCTGTCCCTCTTGATTTTAAAGTATAATTTCTCTTTGTATATATTTATTCATTTCAGTCATTTTTAATAGCATACGTAACATTAACAACGATCACATCCATTTATAAATACGCCATTGGTTTTCAACAGTAAAAATAAAAATTAAAAAATTGAAAAATTGATTTCATTTATCACATGTTCGTATATTTAAAAACAAAATATTTAGTAATAAACGAATTCTATTATTACAAAAAATTATTATAATATGACACAAACTTTCAAATTATAGTCACATAGAATTAATATTTCATGATTCAGGAAAATACTGTTATATTGCGTTACATGTTTCGAAACGATTAGTCTAAGAATAAATCGTCGAAAACCAGTTTTTCTGATGGAAATGTTAATTCCACAAAATTCTTTGTGTTTCTGGCTGTGAAAATTCGTAACCGGATAGTCGGCAATTGCTTTGTTCTTTTTTAGTAATCGTAATATCAACCGACGCGGATTAACCTCTATTCTAGCTGATGTAATTTTACTTTCTTAACTCTCGTCCAGTTAACTCTATCACCTTTTGAAGAATGAATCGGCAATAAATATAGAATGATTTATTATTGGTTATTCGTGAAATCAAAATTCCATTTTAATGAGTTTTTATATAGTCAACTAACAATTAAAACTAAGGGTAGAACTATTTGGATAATGTCTAGAATTTAAGAATTTGGTATTGCTATATCGAAATTAAAAATTTGTGTATTTCTATGTACTTAAATTATTTTTACTCAATTTTATCTTTGCAGTGTTCTGAAATAGAAGAGATTTTTAATAATTTTATGATCATAAATATTCATGAGGATTGAATAATTTAATTTCTAAATGCAGACAAGCAAAATTCGGCATATTTATACTTTTAAATAATATTCATTGCCGATAAATATATAGAAATTATTTTCATTGAGAATATACAGAAGATAACACTTAATTAGCCGTGTGACGTAAATATCAAAATTTCGACTCGTTATTATAACGAATCGTTTATAAATATTACGAATATTTGTCATAAAATTACCTCGAACAGAGCAATTTCAATTAAATACGTATTGCACTATACTTCTTGCAGAGACTAGATAAGTCACACCACGGTAGATTATACTACATTTATACTAATATGCACTAGCATGCTCATTACGAGTTGATAAATTATCGAAAAAACCAACATGAAATTTGAAAATAAGGTTTAACGATAAACGATAATTTTTATCATAATTTTCTTTGAAAAGAAAAAATGAAAGAATAAGAAAGAACCAACATTTATTAAGAAAAATGAATTAATAAAAAGAAAAAATGTTAAAACGAGGATGAGTCTGGACGAGAACGTGCGTACAAGAAGGTATCTTCGTCTGAAAGAAACATGCCTGTACACCTGTGACCGATGGTCAAGGAGTGAGAGTCGGAGTGAGAAAGTGAGAGTGAAAATGAGAGTGCCGGGGGAAAGAACGAACACGACGGAGTACGAAAGCGTACGAAACCGATTTCGACATTCTTCGGATACTGGGCGTACGTGTCCGCCGCGTGCTTCGTGATTTTTCATTTAGTTTTTGTTTTTGCTCAGAGCAAGTAACTGTCATTTGCTGATTGGAGATGCATCGTAGAAATAGCACTTAATTATTTATATCTGTCGACTGTCAGTTGTGTTTGTATTAAATATTCTTTTTACATTCAAAATTAGCGTTAAATTATTCTATTTACGACTACCATTTTATTTCATTGAATATGTAGTATGTAATATTTAATGAAAATAGTAGCTAAATTTAATTTACTGAATGTAAAAAATTAATTGATCGAAGATTTAACCTATTTTTTTATTTTTTCAGACATTTGTTCTCAAATTTTCGTTTACGATCATTACCTTGCAATTTAAGTGGTCGTTCTTACCCAATTTTCTACCTTTATTGGATAATTCCGTTCTTTATGTAAGGCATGCAAAAATACAGCAGATTCAGTCAGATGGATTACGAGCACATTTTACGCGTTTTATGCCTGGGACATTGAAAAAGGTGAATAAACTATTTTTAAACTCGACCAAAAAAATTGTGATTTAATGTCGGACATATTCAAAATTCAGAGAAAACTAATATATTTTCATGTATGTTTGAATATAAAATAATTTAAAACAAACATTTTAAGCAGAGAGTGAGTACGTTTTCTTACGTTAGCGAAGTGTTGCATTCGTGATTACTATAGATGTCATTATTAGTCAAGTAAAGCGTACATTCTATGACGAAGCGGAAACTTTCGTTTCTGTTTGAAAACGTTGCTTTAAATATTTGCGTGGTAAAGGAGTCACGAGTGAACAAAATTTCGCGGAAACGATCGTGTGAGGTCATGTTCGCGAGAGAGCGAAAATTTCGAAATTTTAAAATGTCAGCACGCGATTATATCCTCGATCGTAGCTAGAGAAATTTGTAAATATTAAGAATAACCCGTATTCTAGACTTCTTTGGACTGTTCTAGATTGTCCTACCAGTAAATTTGTTCATGGTAATAGAAAAGATAATATAAGATCATTTTGATAACAAAAATAATAAAGTGTTTAACATGTATTGACAGAAACGTTTAACACGTTTCGTGTCACATAAATTGCATACATTCTACTGTGAACTTTCTATTCAAGTCGTTGATGTTTCTAATGCATATGAAACTGCTGTCAGTATGTACCAACAGTGGTATACGTGATTCGAAGCGTAATAGTAATAACATTTCATTTTTCAAATAAAATATCTAATGGGTGCTGTTAAAGTAATTTCCTTAATTGTATTCCCTTAAAATAATATTGATATAATTTTTTCGTCACCTTTTATTTGTTATTACATTCTTTACAATCTATATATACAAAATATTCATTAAATTTTTTACAGATGATTTAAGTCAGATTTTTAGAAATTTCTAATTTTTATTCAATTATTAGTTTATTCAATTATTTTATATTATATTTTTAGGTAATCATTTTTTTAGTAAAGTATACCTATCTTAATGATTCACTTATACCGTTCTTAAAGGGGTTGCATTTACAATTACGATTTTTTAAACTAGTTAATAACATATTTCGTTCTTTTTATTACATGAATCAAAACTAATAATTTTAGTTTCAACTTGTTAATAATTAATAATAGTTTTTATTTTTTATCTTGACAATAAAAAAGAATAAAAATAAAGATACATTATCTCATCGAGGTAAAATTAAAGTAACTTGAAAATACTGCTAAATTTCGTTACTTTCAAGTACGGTCGCGGGTAATTTTTGAAATGGAATTATCCAAGAATAAACAAGCCACACAAAGAGAATTGTGAAGCTAATTTTGACAAACCAATCGGCGAAATACAGATACCTAAGTACTTTTCGTGCACGTGGAATAGTAGAAGGATCGTCTTTCAGACAATAGTGTCTAGCGCCTAATACGTATCGTAACAAGTAACTGTCCCAGGATATGGCTTTCGTATCCATAAAGAATTCTTCTCTGTCGAAGGAATTCATTTCAGACTGCAATTCTTTCATACGATCGTTTCTGGAAAAATAAAATGAAATTTACTAAAAATTATGAAAACTTATCACATGTTCGTAGAATCTAGATTAGAATTTTTCTAAAATTTAATTCGCTTAATATTTTGAAAGAAAGTTTCTAGACAATTACCGAAATTCCCATTCTTTGGTAGTATAATATTGCAGTAATTCAATACCAGTGTTAATTCTGTGATGCACCCTTACCAAAAACGGTTTGTTTCCAGATAGAGCAATTATAGTATCTAGGATATATGCAGGTATAAGGTGGAAGAAGATCACACGCAACCAATGATAAAATTTTAACGTAGTGACACTTCCACCTGGATACCAAAGTAGACCTGAAATAAAATTTATATTTTAATACTTTCGGATAAATAGAAGAACTTTGTTTATTATTTGAAACCGTATATTATTCTTCTTTCACTAACCTGTAAATGGGTATCTTATGGCATATTTCTTTCCAGCGTTTACAGCGAAACCCCAAGAAATTGGGTTTTCAGATCCATTAGTAATATTCATAAATATTGGTTTTTCAGGTTTTTCCATCCCTACTTTCCGTGCCAATCCGATAATCGCATTAATCGCCATGTCACAGGGAATTACATTCAATAAGTAATTGTAATTGCAGAGCACTGTTCGGATTACTCCTTTTCCTGCACCTATCATTATACCTGTTGGTCCATTCATATTTTCAATCCAACCAGGTACTGGTTCTTTCCATGATGCACATACTAAAATTTAAATTAATTATTAATATCTTATTAAGATCATCTAAACAATATTTAGTTTGAATTATTTTCAAATGAAGTTTATTTAGATATTATTTGACAAAAAAGAAGTTGTACATATTTACCAATGGAAGGTCTTGCAACGCCTGCAGGCAGACCACATCTTTGCACCAAATCCTCACTAAGTGCTTTACTAAAGGCGTAGGTGTTCGGTAATCCATTTAACATTTTTGGTGTTATAATTTTCAAAAAGTCATCTGTCATACTATTTGTTATTTCAATAACCTTTTCGGGTTCTACTGAGCATGGATAACTTCGTTCTTCGAGTACTCGTTCACTGCAGTGGCAATATGAAGTAGATACGTGGATGAATGATTGTAAATGCGGCATCTACAAATAATGAATTTCTTAATTTCTTGTATTATCAAAAATTTAGAAAAAATTAAATGAAGTTAATAAGTACATACCTGTTTTACAAGATTTATCACATTCATGGTGCCTACAGTATTTATCGTTATCGCCTCCTTTAATGTTAAATCGAATTTAACGTTTGCTGCTACGTGGAAAACGACTGAAACTTCTTTCATTAGTCTCTGCTTATCGGCAGTAGATAAAGCAAGATCTTCGAATGTAGTGTCTCCGGGTATTAATATGATCTTCTTTAGTCTCTCAGGATACTTTTCCTTTATAAGTTTGAATGGGTTTTCCTGGAACATCAATCGAACATTTTCTTATCCATTTATCACTACATGACAAGAAGGAAATATTTTGCAATTATTAACAGTATGTCAACAATCAACTATTTTAATACGCAATACCTTCTGTTGATTCATTGTATTAAGACACAGCAAAAACGATGATTAAGCTGTGAACGGAAAGGAAGTCTGCTCACCTTGTAGAAACACGGTTTATGAATAAGTGCACTTGTATTTTTCTTATATTGGATGGTACATCTATTTCTAGTAATTTTCTTGTATACTAATACTAAAATTATATACAGCGAAATTACTACGTACCATATAGTCAATTGTACCTTTCACTTTTGTTCACGCATGTTAAAAATGCATCAAACTATTAATGTAAATATATGATTTTGTGTCATCCTTTGTAATATCTATCAAGACAATAAAATTATTGATTTAACGCAAAAATACAAACCTATGTTTATAATGACAACTAAATTCTTTTTCTGAAGGATATATAAAGGTATGCTGATGAAATATATTTTGAAATATAACCTATAATTAGCGAATGAACTAAATTTTAACGATCTATAAGATACGTGTTAACCTTTGTGATATGTACGTTTTTTCTTTTACATTTTTCTTAATCATCAGTTTTAGTCATGACTTAATCATGATATAACGTGGAATACCTTATGCATGCCATTAGTGAAAGTGAAATATAGGACAATGCTGAAAATAGGGAAATTTTAAAAGTCATTAGAATTGGGAAAATCTTTCGTAGTGTGATTTTACACAGTTCAAAGAAGTAAGAAGTAATAATTATTTTATTAAAAAACCAATTGCTTTTTGTTCTTTGATTTCTATATTTCTAAATTTTCAACCTATTCCATAAATTATCTACCTTCCGTTTAGTTTTAATATATTTTTTAACTTATCTTTTAAACTATAAATTTGCCATTACAATGTTTCTAGAATAATTTCATTGCTATATTTTTAAACGTTTTAAGGGTAGTTTCTAAAAAGTGGAATACAGATTAAAATATTCTATCTATATCAATGCGATCATTTCATTATTTTCCATTGTTTACAAATTATTCTGCCATCATAATTTTCAATAATAATAAAGAAGAAAATTAAATAATTTTATCGACAATTTTTATCACATTATATCAGTAATTTTTACAAAACTAATAATCCTACTACGTTTCGCTTTCTTTTCACTCAATGATAAGTAAACACAGTTCTCACGCTCACTTTTCTTCTTTGAATGTTCTTTTATCGATGACCATAGTTAAGTATGAAATGCAATTTGTAGCCTTTTATCTCATTTTGATAATATGTCATTAACATAACTGCTACTTGGTAACAATTATATATTAGCCATTGTTTAGTTTACGTGCATCAGAAAAGTATACCGTAATCCTTGTGTGAGAAAAAAAATTATTTGTTCGAAAGTAAGATTATTTGTTAAAAAATAACGAAACAAAAGGAAATTTCAATGAAATAATTAAGATCAAAAAAGGAAAGTATTATGATATTGAACTATTTTAAATTACGTAATATATGCATCAGAATTAATTTATAACAAGCTTGTAGCGACCTTCAACATAAGTTGATTTAGAGAAAGGTAAACCGAGGTTAACGAGAAATTTTCAAGGTTGACTCTTCACACATTCAAAAATCATTTATCTGTATATAAAACAAACCGATTTCTGTGCCATAGTGGTTTGTCATGAATTATGGAAAAAAATAGTGCTATTATTGGGATATTTCATCAGTCATAATTTTCTAGAGACGTCATTTCAAATCTTTTACAAATTTTGAACGAGGTATCTTGAAAAAATATATTTTAATAACGTATAGTTCTATTAAATTAATAAATTACTATTTATATTGTTACAAAATTGCTAAGTACTAACATTTTTTAATTTTTTTTTTAGCAAACTAAACATTCAAAGAAGCTTCAAGGGCCATTGCATTCTACATATTTTTAATCGACAAGAATTGAATGAGAAATTAATTTTTTATAAATAAACTGTGCCGAAAGTGATCTATCACGTATCGTATAGATCTTACTTCAATGTGGAGCCGTTTCAGTGAGTATTTTAACTTATTAATTGCGTTATTTGTTAACCAGCAACTCTTTTTCATAAATATTCAAAATTAACAGAAGATGAATTAATTTTATTTAGGTCCGTTGTAATCCTCGTAGATGAATACATAACCTAATTATATGCTGTATACGTAATAAAAAGGTATGCATTTAAAATAAAGAATCCCTAGTGAAATCAATTATCACATTCCAGATCTTAATAAGATGTTAATCCATTTAATTCACCATTTTATTTAAAAAGAAGGTAATTGGACCTGAATTATTTGAAATTTCTCTATTTCTAAAAGAGCCTCACACATTATAGGATTTACCATTCGAAACGATTTATTATTTCCTTATAAAAACGGTTTCTGTTTTTCCCCAAAATAATAAAGCAAAAGTCAGAAGGTGAGTTGCCTTTTTTCGGTTTATCCATTCTCAGAATTTATTTAACATTTTTTTTCTTGGTATTTGAATAAATTATAAATTATACCTGCATCAGAAGCTGCAATCTGGACTGTGGATCAACCTCCTTTTTTTTTCTGATCAACACAAAGATGTTTCCAAGGTCATGGCAGCTAACCAATAGTTTATAAATTAAAACCTTCCCCATGAATCCAGTGCCACCAGTAACGAAAACATTTCGGCCTTGAAACCACTCAGACATCGATGGTACGTGTGATGCCATTTCCGGAAGCGCTATATAACAGAGGAGATGACAATCAAACGAAGATGAAAACGTGCTTGAATATGTTCATAAGAGGCGATTGCATACGCTGGTGTCCGATTTTCCCATTTGATAATTTTTTAAATGAGATACTCGGGTATACTGACACCTACATTACCAAGTTCATTGTCAAAAGTACATCGTCAAATATATTACCCTAATAATAATATTCGATTAAAAGTAAATTGTAAGTTTGTAGTAAGTGTTATAAAAATAATATTTTTAAAAAGGATTACCAAGCTGACGGTGTCTGAAAATGCAAGTAAATTAAACGCAGTGAAAATGCATTGTCTAATTAAAAATACGCGATCACAATTAAATTGTAAATTAACATTTAAATTGTAAATTTACTGAGTAATTTCAATAAGTGAACTTTTAAACTCTATTAATATTATATTCGGATATCGATCAACATACAAAGTATGATTATTACTATTTAATTACTTCCATTTCTTTTTACAGACGATTCAATCAATTAACATTATAAAATTCGCATGCATCGAGAATGCATTGAGAATTCGATTATCGAGAGGCGCGCGCAGAAAATATTTTAGGCTTTATATTGCTTATTCTAATAAATAAGGTAAATCTTTTTTATGTTACTATGAAACTGGTTTTATCAATTGCTTTGTGCTCATTAATCACGGTTTCTCATATTTACAAATTATTCAGAGATGAAGCTTCATGAAGCAAAACTCATTGAAGCTTTTTAACGTACATTTGTATTATCATATAAAAATCTCATTTATATCATGAATAATGCTCGTAATATAAAACACCAGTTACATTTTGTTTATTCATTTGTATTAAAGATAAGAACATATGCATAGTGATATTAATAAAATTAAAATGCAATTCAGAAATAGAATATTTTAGGAGACGCGAGTAAAACCTGTGTCATCGCTATTCGCCGGCTCCACGCATTATTAGCCATTCACGAGCATTCTTGTGCATTCGCAACATGCTACAGGTATTTTTTGGAATCCTGCTTGCTATTGTCCGTGCTTTGAATACTGTGAATGACTAAGACCCTCGATGTGATTTATGATTTTATGTAGTTACTAGTTTTTATCGTAGTGAGAATTTATAAATTTTTCATATTACATCGCATAGGTTTGTCGTAAACTCTTTTTACACTTGTTTCTTTTGCTTTCTTTCAATTGAAATTTGAAATAGTACCTCTTTCTCTAGAATACTAATTTTATATAACGTATAGTTAATTTTCAGATACAATTGATACAAGTTTGCTTTTCTTTTCTTATTTTTAATTTATATAATTTGAATTATGCGCAATTTGAGAAAATAGGTTTTGGGCACGTTAGATTATTTTGAATATTGGATTTTTTCCATTTTTCGTTAGATTTTTAAAAAAAATATATAATGATACATTGTTCCAGACGATACCACTATACTAAGCTGAAATATAAATGCAAAAATCGTGAGAAATCAGTAAAATTTGAACTTCAATTGTATTCACTTGTTTTGCTAATAAAAATTTTATTTAAATGCATGAAAGAAAGTACATTATAATAAAACTGTATGTCATTAACTACCATTTCAAGCCAACGTAATAACCTTGCATTATTATTTGCAGAAGCCTAAATAGAACCGAGTTAACGGTATGAATATGAAAGAAGTTCACAATTGTAAATCAACTAAAACTAAAATATCCAACACGAAGTTTCGATTACTGGTAAAATATTTTATTATTGAGCAATTATTTATTATTAAGTTAATTTTCATTTGTTAATTTATCCAACGTATTATTTATTAATAATCTTAAAAATGAATAATAATCAAAATTAAATAGTTTCGCTAAAACTAAATATCAATTCACTGATATTTGTCTATAATAAGTTATCAATGCTGCTTCTATGTAGAGAGAATTATTAAATTATTATTAATTGAATATGTATTAATTAATTATGAAGTATATAATTCATTAATATATAGAGAGTTAACAAATTATTAGTATTGTGTAATACACTACAAGTTAATACTAATAATGATTAATTAATGACTAGGTAATGACTAAATAATGACTAATATAGTCTTCTAACATTTTATACTAATGTAATACTTAAATAAAATATTGTAGTAGTAATTACAAAATATTGTTTTATTTACAGATTGTCCAAAAGTGTATTTTCCAGAATTTACGTAAGTTTAAACAACAGTGATTTTAACGCTTCGACGATATGTCATTGTCATTTTACTTTTCTAATCATTCTGGTTGTGACACAAGAACGAAAACGAATTCCTTGTGCGTATTACTACAGCATAGATTGTCAATTATCGTAAATTTCACTTTAACGACTATGGTGCCAACTGTCTGCGGACATTCTTAAGCTTTTCCTATGTAAATGTACATTTGTTGCATCATTAGAAACGATCATCCCTATAAATTTTACGAAATTTCATTATGTTAGTTTATTAATTAATTATAAATTAATTTAGTCCAATGAAGAGATCAAATAATTCAATCATAGTATAGATTATTTCAAAAATATCGAGTATCCGTTTTATCTGTTCAAAAGATTACAAAAAAATTTTCATCAACGCTAAAGTCAAAATAACAAATTTACCTGTAAATCTATCTGATAAATCATCTTAAATCATTGATTCAATCAACACATTTTTCATATGTTTACCATTAACTTATTAAAAAACATTCCTCATCCATCATAATTTTCAATCAACACAACCCTCTATGTACGTTCTTAATCCTATGTTTCATCATATTTCAATACGTACCTATGAGAAAGGACGATTCAGACAAATAATCCACAATACACAGAGCAAAATATTATCACCTGTCACAATCTTTATAATCACGTTCAATTACTAATAATGTATTTAAAAATATATATATATCAGGAATTAATAACTAGATTCAAGTAAACTCGCGAGGATAAAGCTAAACGAGGCCCTCGAATTGAGAAGAGGAATGAAAGGTTCTGGCAAACTGGCGTGAACGCTCGCTTGGTCTACACTAGTCTGACGGGAATTTATATTTTGTTCCACAAGCCGGGCTGTCGACAGAGAATTGCGTGTAACCGAGAGATCGGTAACCCTTCAACAAGACAACAAAGCTATCGTGGATACCGACTGACCATGCCTGCTCGATTGAGTTGCAGTTTACCTTGCTCGATAGGTACTGTTTTTTTGCTTGTAGTATGGCTGAATGTTAACTGCCAAAGAAGTCATTGTCTTCGCAATCGAGATCCCAGGGTCATTCTCTTGAGTGAGGTTACCTTGGATGGCGTGTTCTGAATTAAATCAACCTCGAATCAACTTGACCAAACAGAACAAGGGCTGCATTGCGCATGCAAGTTAATTAATTAGTTCCGTTAATGCAATTCGATTAAAACAGGTTATAGATTTTTCGTTAGTTTGGGTTACTTTCAACTAATTTCAACTTCCTTTTAGTCGTTTCGAAATCAACGCTTTGATTTCTTCGTTTTATTAAGTGATGCAGCATATTTCCTCTGGGCAAAGGAAAAACTTGTCCTGAGGAATGAAGTCAGTGTCTTTAACTCTTCGTAACACGTTGTGACTTTATATGGTCTAATATATATTCTTATCTTATAACTTATTTTTCTTACTTGTAAATTTGCCTATTAGCAATAATTGTTTACCTATTGATTTATAAATCAATAATGATCAAAGTTATTGTTATTTATAACAATAATTATTTATTGTTTCTCATTTCATAAGAAGCAGTAATTAATTACAATTTTTATCTTTATATGTAAAGAAAAACTTTTTTTTATTTTAGAAATGTTGTTTAGAAATATAAAATAAAGTTTTATCTTTTCAAAAGTATTTTGTACTTTTTGTTAATGGTTAAAGTAATGTGTTTAACATACAATCTTCTTTTTACTTATTGTTATGATAAAATATTAATTACATATTTTTAATATGCGCATGTGAATATATGATACAAAAGAAATACAAAACAGCAACAAAAATTCGTACTTTCTAAGTTGAACCTTTTTAATCTAAAAGGAAAATCTTGCTTTTTAGCATTTAATGAGTGAGAAATCTTGATAATGCTTTCTATTTTGGATATTTAAGAATTTGTAGACTTAGGAAAATTTAAATTCATTTTTATTAGACACTAAAAATATCTATATTGTTTATAGTTATGAATTTGAGTTTAAAAGTGAGTTAAGCAAGATGTAAGTTTTACTTTCCACTAAGTTGAAGATTATTTTCATCCGATAATTGATTAAAAAACCCATCTTTTTTATGCTGGTAATTATTAAAAACTTTTTGTATTTATAACTATAATAAAATGTAATTAGGTTAAAAAATAATAGTAATAAACTTATGAATAATAATAAATTACCTAATTTTATTGATAGAAATTTAGATGGCATCCATTTCATATTTTAAACAAATATTAAATTTATATTTAAAAGATTTTACTTTGTTTAAAAAATACATTTGCATATATAATTTCATTATTTTTATGTAATGTTATTTGATGTTTCATATGAAATATTCATAACTAACATATACTTATCTTAATACCTGCAAGTAACAATGACCTGCAAGAAAAATATAGCATACATACAGTAAAAACTTGAAAAAGTGAAGTATAATATTCATAAACTGAATATTTTATAATAATTAGCTCATAAACAAAAATATTTAATTAAAAATTGTAATAAAATGTAGTAAATGTTTTTATTATTTATTTATAAAATGAATAAGCTTGTTAAAATATCAGCTTTATATTATTTTCTGTTATAATATCAGTTCAATAGATATATAATGTTGATACTCAAACATAATGTCAGTTCAACAAATAGTACACTTCTTTTTACATAAATTTTAAAGAAATTTATAATTTTTAATCTTTATTGTAAGTTATATTTTTTTTAGAAATTTATGATTTTTTTAAATACAAACTATACTATATTATATAAACTTATATAAAAAATTAAATATTTTATAATAATGTTTAATCAACTTTACTACCCAACACCCTTTTGAAGGTATAGTCTATAGAAATGTATTTTAATGTACTTTTGATGAATTATACGTAACTTACATTAAAAAAAATGGAAAATATATATTTTGTCCAATTGTATCATGTACTTATATTTATGCAAAAATATTAAATTCATCAAGCATACTTTCTATATGGAAATATAATTTGATTGAAATTTTGTATGTAGTTTATAATTGGTCAAAAAGAATATAGGTAAGTGAAACGATTAAACCAGTCTTAAACCAAGTACTTGCAAAAATAGTTCTGACCAGCCACCAAACAAGAGCTAACAATGCAGCTTGTAGACCCAAGTGGGCAACCAATAATCTAAAAATATAAATAATAAACAAATCAGTAGTTTTTTTGTTAGTATATAATTTTTTCTTTATAAAAGAATTATACTTACATTTTGTCTTTGGAATGTGCTTTTGGTAATGTTTTAGGTGATTCATTATTCAAATATGTTCTGACTCCTTGTGTTAAGTCACTGAAGTAATCTTCCCATACCATTGGCTTAATATCTAAACTAAAGAGCTTCTTATCAAGCTCTGATAATGAATCATATAACTCAATCTGGTGAGTGTTATAAAATTTCCATTCAGTAAAGATAAATTTTTTCAAACGATCCAATGAATTGTTAACATTCCTGTGCATTCGTACCAAACTGAAAAAATATATAATTTTTTTAATTAATTTCATGTTGCAAACAGACTATAAATATATTAAAAAACTGATATTACAACTTACATTGGTCTTCCACCAGCTAGTTTTGTAATCGTATCTAAGATATATGCTGGAATGAAATGTACAAAAATTGCAGAGAGCTTAAATAAGAAAATCGAAGATACAAATTTAAGATGCGGATACCAAACAGCACTTTGTAATGGATATCTATGTAAATAAGAATTGATTTTTGATTCCACAGAAACCCATTTAAAAGGATTACTTGTACTAGATGTACAATGATACAGCTTCAATTCTTTTTGACTATAATAAAAACATTATTTATTATTGTAAATAGTAGTTTTAATGCATAATTCTTTTTTTAACGTTTATATTAAAATTTTTGTTATAATTAATATAATTTTACTATACCTATCTTGATCAACTGCATAAGCTGCAACAATAAGATTATTCACAACAATATCTACTGGAATGTAATCATAAATTAAATTTTTTGCAATTGGTAATCTTCTTATGACACCTTTGCTAGCACCCATTAGAAATCCTTGTGGACCATTCTTTGATGTTGTCCACCCAGGGACTGGTTCCTTCCATGCTGCTGTTACTGTAAATGTAAAACATTTAAAATATATAAATTTCTGATTTCAAATTTCATTCCTTGTATTAAATATAAAAATTTAGAAATATTATCATATTTAATGTACGTACCCATGGAAGGACGCACAATTGCAGCAGGAACACGACCATTTTGAACTTCATGTTCAGCTAAATGTTTTGTAAATGTGTAAGTATTTGGATGATCTTTTAGTATATTCGGTGTTTCTACTAGTAATGTATCATTATCCAATTTTTCAACCAATGTGAGTAATTCATTCACATCGAATGGTGCTGGATATATACGTTCTTCTACTTCATTTAACATTGAATTTACATATGCACTAGAAATATGTACCAGAGCCTGATAGCAAAAAAATTGGAAAATACATTGCATAAATATTATCAATTAACATAAAAAGAAAACATTGAAAAAGTTGTTTACCTTGAGATCTCTTATTTCTTGACAAAGCTGTACAACTCTACGTGTACCCAATAAATTAATATTTGTGGTAGATTTTAAATCTGCTACAAACTCTAATGTTGCTGCACAATGAAAAACAATTTGAACATCCTCAATAAGAGTGAATCTATCTGTAGTTGATAAGCCAAGATTTTCTTCTCCCACGTCACCAGCTACAGCAATCAATTTTTTAAGGAGATCTAATTTATTTTCTTCTTTTAATTTGTTAAATACCTAAAAGAATAAAATAAAAAATTTAATGTTTAAAATAATTTAAAATATTTCAAATAAGTATAATATATAAATTTTTATTACAATTACGCAATTTTTACATAGAAAAGTTGAAAAAATGCAGGACACTAAAATTTTCAATATAAATAAAAACCTTTCTTTGTTCTATAATATAATAAAAATAATGTAATAAAGTAAATGTGAAAAATATATGTCATTATGAAGTAACAAAGTTTGCTTAATTCAATGTTCAAACTTAACAAAAGTTTGCTTAATTCAATGTAGTCATTGATTAGAAATGAATATTAATATAAATCCTATACTTTAAAAAACGATGTAAGTCGTTTAATAATTATATAGCTTAAAAAAAGTAATAGGAAAAAGTAAAGGTTATCATATGCCACCTATTAAATAAGATTATAGTAAAATTATCAGTATTTTTCAAAATATATTTTTCTGTACCGAATTCTTTTTAAGTTCCTCCAATCTTTCATTTATCTCAAATGGTTTGCAAATCAGGAACGGATCTCAATAGTTTCTCTATCAAACAAGCACCAATGAATCCAGTTCCACCGGTGATGAGCACAGTTTTACCGTTAAAAAAATTATTTACGTTCGATATCATTGTGACTTTCTTGTATGAAATTGTGTTTAATACTTATTTTGAAAATATCGTGAAAAAATAAAGAAAAAGAAATTAGGTATTTTTGCGTACGTATAAAATGTACGAGCGAATCACCACTAGCACAGTACACAGCACATTCACTGCTGGTTCAGCGTAAACTGAAGGCACAATACTTTCAGAAAGGAGAGTGATGGTTATAGTTGATGATATGAGTACATATTATAAAATTAGACAAATACGAATTTCTAAAGTCACTGAAGTATATACCATACATATTATCATAATTGATCATGTATATAAAAAATAATACGTGGGTATGTGAATCATCTAGTTTGTTACGTGACTACAATTTATTTGCCATATGTAACCTACATATATAATTAATCACACTTTCTAGTAGAAAATTTTTTCTTGCCATAATTTTTAATGTCAATATAGATTTTCGATTATATCATTTCATAAATTCTAAAATAGTTTTTACTTGTTTGATTTTTTATACGTAACTGTTTATATTAACATAAATAATCAAATCAACTAACATAAATCAAATGAAATATTAATTTTATAAAATGTGTTTCAAATAAAATTCTGCTGTTAATAAACGTAATATTAGTAAATTTGAGAAATAAATATTAGGTTCTGCATCTCTGTTATTAATAATCACATTTGAATTTTTATTGTACATGTAAAATTTGAGAAATCTTTTATCCATAATTGAAAATATTCTTGTTCAATTAGCAATGATCAGGCAATTCAGTCATTATTTAAAACATCTTTCGAGAAAATGGCTAAAATCGAAATATGAATTATATAATATTGGTCTCTGCGATAACTGGTTCCTACTAATAAGAATCTGAGTATACTGTTATGAAATGACAAAGTTTCGAATATGTTGAACAGTGTCTGTCAAACAAATATTAAAGATTTAAAATGTATGTGAAATTAAATAGATGTGGTATTAAATTTTTCTAATAAGTTATTAAGTAAAAAATTCAAAATTATTATGTAATAAATTATTAAAATATGACTAAAAGAGTTAATAATTTTGGTAATCAATATTGTTGAAAATCAAGAATTTCGTAGTTTTCTTTATATTTCTTATAATGTAGAAGAAAATTATTTTGTAAAATTACCATATGTAATTAAATTACAACTTAATACAATTTAATATAGAATTGTTTGAAGTATTCAAATTTGATTTTTCAGTGTCAATAGTATGTCAAAGAACAAAACTTTTTCATTAATATTATTTAATTTTTCGTATCAGCAAATGTAACAAAAATATTATGGAATGTGAAATAAATGAAGCACCCTGTATAATTAAGTTCTTGTTTTATAGTATACGTTACAGATGACCATGAACTTTGGCTTTACACATTATGACGTAAACGCAGCCAAATTTACGTTACTTGAATCTGAAAGATGCGTAGTACACCTAACATTTTAAATGTTCATTTTTTATTTTATTCAAATATTAATCACATGTATATCACGAACGTTTCAGTCTTTTTCTCATTGTATCCTATTCCTATTGTATATTGGAGTGATCTATAAGTTATTCTATAAGTCATTATTCATCTATAATACGTGTCGGCTGTCCTCGGTAGTCGAAGATTAATAAAAAAAAAATAAGTACTTTTTCAGAGTAACATTGTCTCGCTTTTATCTCAATAGTAGGATAACCTATTTATGTAAAAATTTCAACGATATTCGTTATTTGTGCAAAGTAAAATTTATACAAAAGATTATATACGAAACGTTATGTACAATATAATATTGTATAATATAAAATACGTTCATACTCAAAGAGAGAAAAAATTAATGTGTAAGAAATGAGTGCTTTCTTGTTTATATCATAAGATCACATTTACGTCATCACAGGTTTAATTACAATATCTATATTATATACTATGTGTTGCTGAAAAGAAGTCTGCTGCGCGAAACAATAATGAAAGCTACAATCAATTTTAACATTATTTACTGTCCAATAAAAAATCATCGTCCAGTAGATCTCATTTTTTATTTATATAACATGTATTTTTTTATACTAATAGCAAAATTATAAGAAATTTCTCTAAATCACTTTATATTACAGTTACAGTTATATTATTCGATACATAAATACGAATGACTTTTTAATATAAAGTCAATAAAAAATAAACTTCTACCTAACTTTTAAGATGAGAATAAATCTTTAACGTTTTTACATTTCATGCAATACTTCGCTTTAGCCAAAAATGCAAAGGAAATAAAAATGTTTTGACATACATGTACATATTATGGACATTTATCTTATAGAAGTGCAAATGCAGTTATAGATTATAAAAAATGTATTAATTATCAAATTTATCATTAATAACAAATTAAAATTATTAATAGCAAATTGTTCACAACGTAAATTTATAATAAAAGTGAAAAAATTAATGAATTATTGGCTATTACTAGAATTTACGACGTACTTGTGTTAATTCGTATTCGTATAATTTGCAAAAAAGTTTATAAATTGTTACACTGATTGTTTATAACAATTTAATACTGTTATTAACAAATTGCTTACAACGTATATTTATAATAAAAGTGAAAAAATTAATAAATTATTGGCTATTAAAGTGAAAAAATAATAAATAATGGAATCGATAAAGTCCAAAAATTTCTGATCGGAGTGGGGATCTCGGTCGATCAGAGGCTATATAAGCAGCGACGCGACGGAGATGAACTCATTTGTCGCTTCGACTTCGGGAGTTTAACATCTAAATTTTCGTTGTATGCGAAGGGTGGGAATTTGAAGTGAGGTTGGGGGTAGCCACCCTATCCTCACCCCACCCTATTAAATAATTTACTAATAATTTTTCTTTTATTTTCAGATATTAATTATTTTTTTCTTTCAGCTTTTAATTATTTTTTCACTTTCCAGCTTTTATTTTCTGTTTCTATTTATTTTCATTCGAATATTTCGTATAATATTCGAATGTTTCGTCATTGGTTTGTTTCTGTCTCATCGATGAGTTGCTCCTTCCACTTGGTTAACCTTCATGGTTTCTATTCGTTTGTTTTCTTTCCTCGTATTAATCCGTTTCCTTTCAGGTTTATATTAACAATAATATATTCTGTTTTAGCTTTTAGGATTCTCAAGATTCTCAAGTTTCCTCCAGACTCCATTTGGTACTCATCAATGGACGACGTGAGATGCGTGCGTTTAGACATAAGTAGACTTAAGTAGTCATAAAATAGATGCCTAGGCTAAGTCTCATGTGCGCGCTATCTGTACAAAGGTAAGCTACCTAACTTGAAGCGAATATTATATTTTTCCTTCAGTTTTCCTTCTCGTTACCAAATAGAACATAATTGTTCTCGCGATAATCGCGATTGTTCTTAAGTACCGGCTAGCCTGCGTGACGTACTCTGGTGTACTAGATAACTCCATGTTTCGCAAGTTATCCAAACGACTCGTTCCGACACTCAACCTCGCCACTGCCACCCTTGTCACGCATCGGTTCTAGGGTGGTCGGCTGGCTGGCAATCATCTGGGTCAATCCGAGGGTCTGTCGGCCCTAGTCGTCCTGGGCACCAGCGCGTGCACGACTGGGGTATGGGTCCTGTAGCCGTGACACTGCATATGGGCCTGCGGTTAGACCCCATGGGATGATTAATTTCTCCCCAATGTGGCAGGGGCCTGCGTGACCGGTTACAGGGCCTCGCTAGGGACCCTCGGCTTGATTTTGGATGTTTCGTTGGTTCGTCGATCGCTCTCGTTCACGAGTAAGTCATGGCAGGGTCTGTGGTGGCTTGGTGGGCTAGGTTCGATCGGGAGGGTGCCGAGGCATGAAGTTGTCTTGTACACGAGAGTAGGTCTCGTAGACTAGTCGGTCTTTCGAATAATCGCGACTTCGTTCGGGCGCGATTGCGATTTTTAACTTGCTCGCGTGTTTTATATTTTATTCACTATTTTTATGAGACATAATATATCTTAGTGTCGCGACAATAGAGTAGTACTATTCCGAATCGAAATCCCCTTTGTAAGACACGAAATATAATAAATTGTCAGTAGATTCTCACTTTAACTTCTTTCGCTCCAAGTTAGATTAGGATATCTTTGATACAGATACCGCCAGTAGGATGCGCCACTAGGGCGCATGTCGGGTCTCGATGCGTAGCCACCTCCACGTGGTGAGACGTGGTAATTGTTATCGTTTTCCAAAGAATAATTTTTGGAAAACGATACCAAGCTAAGAGTTATGCACAAAGTTTGAGATATTTCCTATCTTTTGTAAATTTTCGATGTTTCAGTTAAACATTTGACAATTTTTGGGGCTGCGAGAGATAAATGGATGGAATTCTTGGCAATAACGTCACTCAAATACAGTTATAGTTCATAAAAATGTATAAATAATCCAATTTGTTATTAATAATAAATTGTTCATAATGTAAATTTATAATACAAGAAAAGAATTAATCCATTGGTTATTACTTGAACAATATCATAATAATGTTTAAATGTACCTATAATTTGCAAAAGTGTAAAAATTATTACACTTATTTCTAATAACAAATTAGTCACAACGTAAATTTATATACGAGCGGAAACATTATTGAATTATAGGCTATTATTAGTATATATAACGTATTTGCGTGAAAATGTATCTATAATTAGTAAAAAGTTAATAAATTGCTACATTTATTGTTAATAACACATATTTTGCAGCGTATATTAACGATAAAAGTTAAAAAAGTTAATAAATTATTAGCTACTACTTAAACAAACAACGTATTTGTATTAAAATGAATTCGTAACTTACAAAAAGCTAATAAATTAATAAATTTATTGTCAATAGCAAATTAAAACTGTTGATAACAAATAGTTTGTAACGTATATTAATGATATAAGTCAAAACAGTTAATAAATTATTAGCTACTACTTAAACAAACAACGTATTTGTGTTAAAATGTATTCATAACTTACAAAAAGTCAAAAAATTAATAAATTTGTTGTCAATAACAAATTAAAATCGTTGGTAACAAATATCTTGCAACGTATATTAACGATAAAAGTCAAAAAGTTAATAAATTATTAGTTATTACAGCGAAAAAGTAACTTTTAAAGGAATCGGTAAAGTACGGAAATTTTCGGCGAACTTCGGCCGGTCGCCACTATA